AAACTGGTTTAATCAAGAAAGAACTTGTATTGCTGAAGTTCCTCGGAAAGAATTTCTACCGGAAATTAACAACCAAGCAGGTATGCAACAAATTGGTGTCAGAGAGTGGGACAGAAAAAAGAAGAAGATGGAAACGAGAATTGGCAAATCAAACTACAGCTTAGCAGATTTGATGGCAGCAATACAAGAACAGCAAAAGAAACAAGAAGAAAAACGACAGCAGTGGCAAGAAAACCTGCAACAGTGGCAGCTTGAACAGCAAAATAAACAAGAGAGATTACAGCAGTTGTTGGAGGAAAAAGAAAAGAAACAAGAAGAATCGAGTGAAGAAACAAGAGGAGAAATTACAGCAATTGTTGGAGGAAAAAGAAAAGAAACAAGAAGAGCTACAGCATTGGTTGGAAGAGAAAGAAAATGAACAAGAAGAGAGACTACAGCAGTGGCAAGAAAATCAGCACCAGTGGCAACTGTAACAAGATAGGAAACAAGAAGTACAAATGGAAAAGATTAGTAAATTTCAAAAGTGATTTAAATACATTAAAGGACGATTTACTGTCTTTTACACAGGGAGGATGTATTAGCCATGGACCTAATCAGCCCCAGACAACAGGAAGCCCCTTCCAGACCCCGCAGCTAAACCCTAATGCAGACATCTCAGTCCTGCCAGAAGTCACATTACAGACATGAGTGTCAGCAATAGGGGTGGTCTAGTACGAAGGAAGCCACAGGAATTCGATGGGAAGGCACCATGGGAAGCATATGGAGCACAATTTGAGCTACTGACAGGAATGAATGGATGGACAGAAGAATAGAAAGCAGTGTACCTGGCAACGAGCTTGAAGGAACAACCACTGGAAATAATTGGACAGTTATCAGCAGAAGACAGGCACAACTATAGAGCACTGGTAGCTGCTCTAGAACTCAGGTATGGAACTCAAAATCAGTCTGAAGTCTACAGGACTAGGTTTAGGACGAGAGTCCGTACTAAAGGGCCTGCAAGAGCTGGCACAAGATTTGGGAAGTATGGCACACAAGGCCTACCCAACTGCACCACCCGATATTTTCAAGCTGTTGCTGAATGATCAGTTTGTAGATGCCTTAGACAGTCCAGAACTGAAGATACAAGTAAAGCAAGCACACCCCTCTACTATGCAGGATGCAATGGCCAGAGCTCTTGAATTCGAATCCTACATTAAGTCCAGTACAGAGGTACCAAGGTTGGTACAGTCATCAGGATTCAAGGCCAGAAAAGATCAGCTTTCAGAGAAGTTTGAGGGACTTTGCTGGCACTGTAACAAACCTGGCCACAAGAGAGCTCAATGCCGGCAACTTTAACTCAGGAAAGATGCCACGGCAGGAAAGGCTACTATCCCGAAAGATTGTTGGAACTGTGGAGAGCAAGGACATATGAAGAGCCAGTGTAAGAAGAATACTACCAATAAGTCAGCCACGGGGAAACCAGTAGTGGTTGGTGTTGAGGGATGCCCACCAAACCCCATTGTGAAAGTCCCAACAGCTAAGTGTAAAATGACAAGCACACATAGTGTCTACGTGACAGGAAAGCTGGATGGCCAAAGGTGCAACTTTGTCATAGATTCTGCATCTCAGCAAATCCTTGTGAGTATCAAGGTGCTAGATCACAAAGGAGTACCAGAAGCCATACAGAAACTCTGTGGTGTGACAGGACATTATGCAAGGTTGTGGGGACCATTGTGGGTAACCATTGAGCTCATGGGCATAAAGGACAGACACAAAGTATACTTGGCTGACATCAAATACCATTGCATACTAGGGTTGGACTACTTACTACCGATGAATGGTGTAGTTAACTTTGATAAAATGACGTTTGGAA